TTTAAAAGTTTCCATGCAGCTTGCAGAGATTTCACTTGTGTAGTTCCCCTTTCTGAAATTAAATGCTAGAGTGTTGGGCCACTGTGATGTTTTTCCTGCCACATAAGACTGTGGGGTGCATTACATCTGTATGACAGAGAAAAACAATGTGGACCATGACAAACTTCTATCATGTAGAGCAAAACCAAGGGAAAGAGACAGTAGAGGCAGGAGTTTCAAGGAGGGTCAACAAAGCCCTGGGGAAAATGGTCAAGAGCTGGCTCAGAAAAAACACGTCATACTGTTGAATAATAAAGAGAAACTTATTCTCATGTTTCTTTTGTTTTGTCTCCTTCTGGGGAGAGGATGAGAGAGAATGAATCAAACGTGACAGATGTCACGTCCCTTAATGCACTACTGGAAGGTGCTCAGGAGTGACGAGAGTGGTATAAAAACTGGTAAAGAATAAAACAGAAATAGCTATTTTCCTCCCCAATCCTTTAGTCAGTATTTAAGAAAATGAATTTGTCTGGCACAAAGCATTTTCATAGGGCAATCCAGCTGCTCAGCTTGTGACAGCCCTCCCCCTGCAATTGACTTTCAATCTCATCCCTTCCTTGGCAGGGGAGTGGAGAGTCCCCAGCAGGGGCTGGGGATGTGTGTCTGGCCTGAAGCATAGTAAGGAGGGTAGGCAGGAGTACCTGGCTCCAGCCCCTCTGCACAAAGATAAGATTTGGGCCCCTAAGATCCTAACTCACTTGCTGGGTCCTGGCACAGAGGGAGAAATGTCACCTTCAGGGTTGAACTGTCAAATATAGAAATAAATTACAGGATTCATGAATATTCATGAGGCAATTCAAACAACCCAAATTAACAAGGACATTAATTACCAAACTGATTAGGCTGTCAATTCCCTTTATTTAAATACATCAACAATTCCCCGCTCATGATGTATCCTACTGAAGACTGCAGAAGTAATCTCAGCGTATCCCTGTAGGAGGCTCCCTAGGGAGCACAGTGAGATCCCAGTTACTTGGGCTGTCAGTTCAAGCTTATCTTTTTATACCAGGAGTGGCCAAACTTACTGACCCTCTGAGCTGCATATGACAATCTTCAGAAGTTCAAGAGCCGGGTGTGCCTGCCAGGGTCTTGGGACTTCAGCCCAGCTGGGAGGTACCTGCTGGGCTCAGGGTTTCAGCCCCGCAATGGGCTGGTGGGGTTAGGGGCTTTTGCTGTGCTGGGTGTGTGTCTTGGGGCTTCTGTCCAGCGGGGTGGGGGTCTCGGTGCTTCAGGAGGTGCCTGCTTGGGCTCAGGGCTTCAGCCCCACTCCTGCTGAAGCTCCAAACCCTGGCAGGTCACCACACAGGGCTGAAGCCCTGAGACTACACCCACCCTGCTGGGCAGAAGCCAAAGGCCATGTGTGAGGGGGACACATGGATCATTTGCCCTCCCCGGTATTTACCACATTTACTGGCCCCATTCAGTAACATGGTGCCACCGGGACCCCTGCCTGCACCGCAGCTGCTGGAGCCAACAAGCTGGGAGCTAACAGCTGGGAGCTGCAGGAAGGGGCCTAAACCTTTGAATTGTGCCTCCCCACCCACACACACTTTCAGCAGGCACCAGTCATTTCTAAGCCCCTAGCCACACCACTCTGCCTCAGAGCAGGAGCTCCAAGCTCCCCACACCAGTCTGGTAGGCAGAGAATGTGGTGGGGTTGGCTCCATGAGCCGCTGTTTGGCCACCCATGTTTTAAACTAAAAGCCCTTGCTTAATCTGTGGAAAACCCAGCTTGAACCAATAATGCAAACCACTCCGTTTTCTCCAGGGTGGTTTACAATCCCCCAGGGTAATTGCTCCCACTGTTTTTAGTTTGTGGAGGAGGTGGGGTAACCTGCCCCTGTGGAGTAGAACACAATCATACAGAGAACTTTCATGAATGTAATACAGTGGTTGTGACAGGTTTGGTCACAGAGACCCCTGTGGGACTGTCACCTGATGTGCTGAAATTACCTCTGAGCCAGTTTTCTGTGCCAGCTTGAGACTCCAGAACCTTGCCTTGTTGAGCCAGACACACAGACCCAGGTCTGGTCCACGCCCCCAAAGCTGCAGACTTTAACCAAAACTGCTCTGTAGGTCACCTATCTCCAGCACCCAGTTTCCAATTGGATCCAAACCCCAAATAAATCCGTTTTACTCTGTATAAAGCTTATACAGGATAAACTCATAAATTGTCCACCCTCTATAATATATAATAGAGCTGTGCATATCGCTCTGTTTGCTCTCCCAGATATTAATCACTTACTCTGGGTTAATAAAATCACTTTTGTTTATTAATTAAGTATAAAAAGTAGGATTTAAGTGGTTTCAAGTAATAACAGACAGAACAAAGTAAGTTACCAAGCAAAATAAAACAAAATGCGCCAGTCTAAGCTTAATACATTAAGAGACTGTTTACAGGTAAATCTCACCCTCAGAGATGTTACAATGAGCTTCTTTCACAGATTCCTTCCTAGTCTGGGCCCAATCCTTTCCTTTCCCCTTGTACAATCCTTGTTAGTTCCAGCAGGCATCTTAGGTGAAAAGCAGGGTTTTTTTTCCCCCCATGACTGGGGCCCTCCTTTGTTCTCTTCCACCCCCTCTGGCATAAGGCAGGAATATTTTGTCTCTCTGGATCCCCATCCCTCCTTCTAAATGGAAGAGCACCAGGTTTAAGATGGATTCCACCATTCTTCCTGGGCTAGCTTACAGGAACACAGGAAGGTTTGCAAGTAAACAGAGCCATTTACAACCAACTGTCCTAGTCAATAGGAGCCATCAAGATTCTAAACCAGGGTTCGGCAACCTTTCAGAAGTGGTGTGCTGAGTCTTCATTTTATTCACTCTAATTTAAGGTTTCGCGTCCAGTAATACATTTTAACATTTTTAGAAGGTCTCTTTCTATAAGTCTATAATATATAACTAAACTATCGTTGTATGTAAAGTAAATAAGGTTTTTTAAATGTTTAAGAAGCTTCATGTAAAATTAAATTAAAATGCAGAGCGCCCTGGACCGGTGGCCAGGACCTGGGCAATGTGAGTGCCACTGAAAATCAACTGAAAATCAGTTTGCGTGCTGCCTTCAGCACGCATGCCATAGGTTGCCTACCCCTGTTCTAAACCATCATCAATGGCCTACACTTTGCATAATTACAATAGGACTTCAGAGTTATACTTTCTATTTCTAGCTTCAGATACATGAATGATACATACAAATAGGATGAACATACTCAGTAGATTATAAGCTCAAGAGACCTTTTGCATAAAGCATATTCCAGTTACATCATATTTACACTCAAGCATGTTTTAATAAAACATTATGGAGTGCAACGTCACAGTGGTGGCCAGAGATATGGCCTGGGATTGCAATATCTGCTATAGCCCCCCCACTGGCTCCATGCAGCGTCTTGCCTGTCCAGCACAGGAAGCCCTCGGACCCCAAGGTCCCTGCATGCCCAGAGGACCAACAGAAGAGGATCAAGTGCAGGCAGGGAAGAGGCGCAGGGAGTGAGGATAGTCCCCGTCCCTCAGTCCAGCCCTCTGGCCTGTACACAGTACCTGGGCCCACCTCAGGGTGTATATTTGGAGGGGGAGGGGGGTTGTCACACCAGAATTACCAGACACTCAACCAAACCACTGCAGGAGTCCCCGCAGGCCTAGGGGAGGCGCTGCGGGCACAGGCAGGGAGAAGCTGCAAGGCCGTGACTGGGGGCACGTTTGCACCAGCTGCTCGGCTCACAGGCTCCCCCAGGGCCATTCCCTCCCGCGGGACACACAGCCCGGCCCACGCTACTCCGCGGCCCTCTCCCCGAGCCTGCCCCGCCCGGCGCCGCCGGCAGCGAGCCCCCCCCCGGGCTCCGCAATGGGGCCGCTCTGCAGGGCTGGGAGGAGGCGGGACCACGCCCTGTCGCTCGGCAGCGGGAAACGGTTGATTAACCGACAGTCAATTATTCATGAGCCTCATGAATATTCAGCAGATAAATCATTCCGATAAAGCCGCCCCGAGCGGAAATGACATCACGGTCTAGGAACTCGTTATTTCCGCTTCTGAAAGCGGAGCATCATCCGCTATCAAAAATCGTTACTTCAGCCCTTACTTCCGGCCTGGAGTCACCCCTTCGCCGACCTCGTTAACTACTTCCGGCAGGAAAATCTCACCTCGTCCTCAAAGGTTGCTGATATTCTGATTTGTTTTAGGTGATTCCCGCCCTTCCGCGGTTGGCGCTATTGCTGGTCCCGTGCGGTGCGAGCGCTGCCTCCGTCTTCCGCGCCCATGATTAGCACTTCCGGTTTGCAAGTCCATTCATTCATTTCCTTCTGGACTGCAAAAGTATGTTTATGACGTCAGTTCCGTCCTTTCTAGAGCCCCGGACGTGCCAAAACACGCCCCGCCTCCTGAACCGGAAGCGACTTGCCGCTCCCCTTTCCGGTGAGGAGGTTGCTGTCGCCGCTGGAGCCGGGGTCGGGGTCGCAGCTGGGGGGTGGTGTCCGGTAATCGGTGGTGGGCGAGACCAAGAGAGACCCGTGGCAAGGGTACTTCCGGGTTAGAATGACCCGGAAGCGGAAGCGGGGAGGCTTGATTGGGTGTCGGTGCAGAGTGCCGTCAGCCTCTGGGCTCCGCCGCGCGGGGATTGAGATTCCGGATCGTGTCGGCCCCTCCCTCGGGCTCGGCCGCTGCGCAGCTGGGGCTCGGTGCCCGCGGGGGGCGGGCTGCGGGCTCCCCCCGGGGGCGGACACTGCCCGCGTGGGCGGGGCTGCCCCCTGTGGGATGTGTGCGCGCGGGGGGGTCCCCGTTTCCCTGTGGCCGGGCCCCGGCGCTGGCTGCGGGGCGCGTCTCTCTCCCCCCACCAGCGCCGCCATGCAGCCCCCCGAGCCCTGGTTTCGCCAACGCGTCCAGTAACGCTGGTAGTTTGTTCGCAGAAACAGCCCTGGAAGGAGGAGAAATGCAAGAGGAGGGAGAGTGAGAGGGAGAGGGGGTAAGAAACTTCCAGGAAAATGCGGGGAAGCTGCGGGTATGATTCAGTACTGGCTGCCCCCTCCCCGCCCCTTTTCGGTATGGTGGTCCTAGTGCCCAGCTCTGGGATCTGGGGCCTTTCTTCTTCTGGGAGTTAGTTCCGGTCCAGGGACTGACCTGTTCAAGGGTTGGCTATAGGGTGCTTCATCTCTAGGGCATCACTTCCTGTCTAGCTTCAAGGTATGGGGGAGGTGGGATTGGATGTCTGAGGGAATGACATGAAGATTGTTGACCTCTAGTGTATTAGTAGTGGTTGGGGAAGGAGAATCCAGTTCTTTTTTCTCCACTATGGTTAGGTTATTGATGGCATGGAACCAAATAATGGCTTTTCAAATTGTTACATAGAATTCCTTAATTCTTCTTCCTCAGAACTCTGTGAAGATGCTTTTGCATCTCATCAAATGCCCTGTGTTCAATGTGCGTTCATCATCATGAATTGTTTCCAGCATCATTTGGGCCTAAAATTTCCCCACCATGAAATCAGGTCTTGTACAGATATAATGATGCGTTAGGTACCACTCCCGTGTGTCATCCTCAGGGTTTGTTTTTTTTATTATTATAAAGTTGGAAATGGAACATCACAATAAATAAATTAACTGTGTGAAAGTAAGGAAAATTATATTTAAAGTCTACTTTACCTATTCTTGCATATTTAGCCTTAATGGTACCCCCTTGTACGCACCACTTCTCAACTCTAAGTCCTTGCTATGCTTTTCATGTATGTGCCAGTGATTCAGTGCTGTAACTCCATGAAATGTAAGCCCGGCCTGTGAAGTGTGTGAATCTGTGAGCGCCATAGTGGTGATACCTTGTCCCTCATGATAAGCAGTAATCGAATTCTCTTGTTTATTCAATTGTTTGTTCAGTGCATGTGAATTTGGCCTGTACATGGAAGGTATTGTTTCTGGTTTATATCAGGAGGGCACGTTGACATCTGTCTGATACTAGACTGGTGAATGGGAAGAAGGTCCCATCTGTGGCCTGTTTGTGGAAGCTGAGATGATGAAGGCTCTTCAGTGGGATCATGCTGTGGTACAGGGTTGAAGCTCCATCCCGTATGTGATAGTGGTAGAGCAATTGGAAAGGTTACATGCAGAGTTCTGGTAAAGTAAGTGTGAGCGGTGTTAAGGGGGTGGGATGATGAATAGGGATTCATATTGCCAAAAGGGTTATTATACTACAATGGGTGGCTAGCTGTGGGTAGGAGGACAGAAGTCTGTTGGAGGAACTTTATCTTCAAATTTCCTCATTTTGAAGGTTGGCATGCCGCTGAAATTGCATGAAATCTTCTGTTGTGACTACTCCCCCTGTCCCCCACCCCGCAGTTCATAATAACTTTGTCAAGCTTTCATCTTTTAAACTGAAATTTTCCAAGCCTCGTCTCTCCCCAAATATGAAGGGTTTGGGGGGTTAGCCATATTTTGAGAACCAGTACAGTGGAAAACATACTTTTGCCTTTATAAATAAAATTGTGACTAACAACTCTAATAGTGGACTAGTTGGGGGTAGGAAGTTATTGATTGTCGCCATCAACATTGGTTTGGCTTTGAGTTTGAAAACTGAATTGCTTTTAGCTATCTTCCAATTTTCTAAATGAAAGAAGTGTAAGTAAGTGTGTGTGTGTGTGTGTGTGTGTGTGGCAAAATCAGGATTTTACTTAATTTTATGAGCCCTTGTCTTCTACACCTAAAACTTTAGAGGTGAAACAGTGGGAATCTGGCACCACCATCAACTTTGTTTGCATAGTGCATAAAAACCTCAATATTGTATTGTACAAACCCAATTTCATTTTGGTTTTAAGATTCTACCTGGGAAAATAGTGAAGGTACTTAAATCTTGTGGGTTTTTTTTAAAATGTCTTGGGAAACTATAGAAATGCCATAGGAAACCCTCAGAAGTCACAAAAATGCATTAACTCTGCCCCCTCATATACTTGCATTATGATTATGTTCTGTCATGTAATTAGGTTCTAATGTACACAGGCCCCTGCTTCAGTCATGGGCTGAGTGGTGTTAAGGAAATGAAGATGAGATGGCTTCTGTAACTCCCTCATGTTCTGGACCAGGTTATGATTGAATGACAATTGTGTAAATCCACAGTAATTCAATCAAAGTCTATTAATTTACAGTGAATTTATACTGGAGTAGCTAAGAACAAAATTTGGCCTCTAAGTATACTTGTTGGACAGTAGGTAATGAATGAGGCAAGGGTGGGTTCACTACACAGAGAGGAAGTAGTTCATTTGAAAAAATTACAAGTAATTGGGTTTGTTTAAAATTCTTTGATTTTTGGCTGATATATAGGAATTGTGGTGTGTACAGCGTTCATCTTCATTTTGGTTTTATTAAACTTTTTAAAAATGTCTTCTTTCTACATTATTCATTGCACACTGCTCAGCAACCTGTCTATTTAATGAGATGGGGCCTACAGAAAAATATGTGGTCATGTAATTGAAGACTGTATTTCATAACTGATGTAGAAATGTACCAAGTTGAGGCTGCACTGGTAACCTTACCCTAGACACTTTCTAACTATGAGCACCTCACTTTTCAAACTTAATGTTCTCCAAACATAGTTTTTATTTAATGGAATTTAATTATCAAGTGATCAACATATATTTAATTATCAACATATATTTGAGTGAATAGTCTAAGCCTTCATTCTATCATAACACAGTTTTTGTATATGAATGTCCTTAGTTTTTAAATAGTCATTTCATTGGTGTTGAAAGATTTGCCAGCTGAGCATATCGCAGGGAGTGGATTTTTTATGTCTCTCCCAATTGCTGTGCTCATAGAGGTGAAGCTCCTCCAGTCTGGAGAGGTCTGCCATTTGGTCTCTGGCCTGGTCTACACTTAAACATTAGGTCAGTATAGCTACATTGGTCAAGGGTGTGAAAAATCCATACCTCTGACGGACATAGCTAAGCTGACCTAACCCTCAGTGAAGATGCAGTTCTGGTGGTGGAAGAATGCTTCTGTTGACATAGCTACCATTGTTAGGGGAGGTTGTGTTCCTACACCAATGGAAAACCCCTTTCTGTTGATGTAAGCTGCACTACACAACCGGGTTATGCTGGCATAGCTGTGCTGAGGTAGCTAGGATGGTGTAGTCTCTGCAGTGTAGCCATAGCCTCAGGTTGGCTTGAGAGCTGGGGTTGAGCAGCAGTGACTTGAGGGGTGGTGGTATATGATCGTGTGCCCAAAACATGGCTGAAGGATGGTACTAAAAGGGGGGTGGCATAGTGAGTCACTCCTTCACCCCTTTTGGAAGGAGGGGGAATGTGGAAATCAGGACTCCTGGGTTCTCTTCCCAGGGGAGGGCAGTGGAGTCTGCTTGGACTCCAGGATCCTTAGGTTCTGTTTTAGGCTTTCCTATGGGAGTGGGGTCCAGTGGATTAGAGCAGTAGGAAACAGGAAATTGGGAGTCCTGGATTTTATTTCTTGATCATCTGTTGGCTCACTGTTATCTTGGGCAAATCTGTTTCCCTCCCTGTCTCTTCCCCCCGTGTAACACTATGCTAACATTCTCCTGCTACCTGCGGGTGAGGAGTAGTTAGTGTCTGACGTTATGTTAGGATGAAGGGGCAGGGGCAGGCAGGATCTGGAATTCACACTGTTTGGGGGTTGGATTATATGCAATGTTGGGAGAATTTGTTTCCACCTGTGAGGGTCATGGCTGCAGAAACAAAACCCACCCACCCCTTCCCCACAGGGGAAATTAGTCATCTTTGGGGTGGGGGACTGTAAGTTCGACGCTTCAGTCAGGAGGTAATTGAGAGGAACCTAGTCCTGGGTGAGTGGTGAGAAGCAGCCTCTTTTCCTTGCTGGGAGACAGGGTCTTGGCAGAAAGATCAGAAGAGGGGCCATGTTGCTTAGTATAAAAAGGGAGATCCCACAGGGGTCACTGCATTAGGCTGAGCCAGTTCCTTATCACAGACTCTCTGGGTTTAATGTTTTCCTTTTACATGTGTCTCTGTCTCCCTTTCCTTGTCTTCCCCCCTCTGCCCAGCTAGGATGGAAGAATCTCATTTCAACTCCTCCCCGTACTTCTGGCCAGCAGCGCCCACAGTCTCGGGACAGGTAAGGGCCTCTGTCTTCCACCATGGTCTGTTTGGTTCTGCTCCTTGCTGGGACCAGAGTGCTCCTGACCTATTTCCTACAGTGCCAACTGCTGGGAGGTGTCAATTCTGGGGTATTCTAAAAGAACTCTTTCATACTCATGTAGATCGAGAATACCATGTTCATTAACAAGATGAAGGAGCAGCTATTGCCTCCAGAAAAGGGCTGCAGCCTGGCTCCCCCCCACTACCCCACCCTGCTGACGGTACCCACCTCTGTGGCCCTACCCACCGGCATCTCCATGGATTCAGACACCAAGTCGGAGCAGCTGACCCCACACAGCCAAGCCCCCGTGACCCAGAACATCACCGTGGTGCCAGTGCAGTCTGCCGGGCTCATGACAGCAGGTAGGGAGCACCATGGGGTTGTGGAGGAATGGAAGGGTAATCTCAGCATCTGAAGGGAATGAAGTGCATAGGGTTCTGAATGTTTTTCTTTTGGGGCTGTAGATTGACTCAGGTCTTGGATAGCAGATGGCATGGGGGGTCCTGGCCATACCTCTCTTAACTGTGCCCAGTGTACTTCTGGTGTTTCTCCTCTCCAGGTATTGCTGAGCATTTGACTTCCAATATCGGACAGCTGGATGGAATAGGGAGCATAGCTACTGTTCCTTGTGGATCAGGGTTAAAAATGGATTTTGAGGCCCCACTTTATTGGGGTGGGGGATCTGAAGGGTGATTGGACCCTGCCCCGATGTCTGGAGGGTCTGATCTCTGAGCTCTTTCCCCTTTCTTTCCCTGCAGGTCCTGGCCTGGTGATTACTTCCCACTCGGGTTCCCTGGTGACCACAGCCCCCTCTGCCCAAACCTTCCCCATCGCAGCCCCAATGATTGTCTCTGCACTACCCCCTGGCTCCCAGGCTGCCCTCCAGGTGGTGCCTGACCTGTCGAAGAAGGTGATAACCTCCCTTTCTGAAGGTGGGGGTGGGGGAGTTGCCCCTAAACCTCCCCGGGGCCGGAAGAAGAAGCGACTGCAGGAGTCAGGGCTGCCAGAGATGAGCGATTCATTTGTGCTGTCAAACGAGGATGATGAGGACCAGCACAAGGATGGCAAGACATACAGGTGGGGAGTGGGGCTCAACCATGGCTGTTTCACTGCGTGGGGTGGGGGAAGCGGTTACATGGGAAAGAGGAGATTTGTGCTTTCTCCCTGTGAAGTCCCAATGTGCAGACACTTTCAGCTGCAGAAAGAGTTGAGATTTCATCTCCTTTTCTCTTTTTAATTTGCCTGATTTGTTAAAAGTGCAGCTCAATCTGATTTTAAGGATTGCTGCAGTGTCAGGAAGTAATGCTCCTGGAGCAGCTGGTTATTGAGTCTAATTAGTCTAAACCTCACCTGATAATGTCACAGCTGTGTAGTGTGTCGGCTGTACTGCAGGGTGTAGTACCACTTGCGGCAACTAGGAGCTGCAGTACACCTGCTTGCAACTTGGATGGGACTCCTGCCTCTGCAGTACATAGACCCCAGACAGCAGTGAGCAAGGAATCGACTTCTGTGGGGTAATTTCAGGTCATATGCTCTCTGATGGCTCTGCTCCTACTCTTCCACCCCAGCAAAAGGTTGAGGGATTTCTGAGCTAGGGGTGGAGTGTTTCTGAGACTGGTGGTGGGTGTCAGATAAGGGCCGGGGGAGAGTTATGAGCCCAGAGATGCATTTTCTGAGCTTGGGAGGGGTGTGTCTTTTATGTTTATGAGGGATTGGTGGGAGGGGGGACTGGTTCTGAGCTGTGGAGAGGATAAGTAGGAAGAGGAGAGGGTCTCAGTCTGGGGGAGGGTGGAGTGTAGGTGTTTCTGAAAAGGTGAACGTTGAATGTTGTTGAGGAGGCCGGAGGTGTTTCTGAGCTGAGTGGGTTGGGTTGACAGGGTGAATGGGAAGGTGAATAGTGGTAAGTAGAGTTTGGGAGAGCTGAAGAGGTCATAAGGCTAAATATTTTCTGCCACCCTGGCCTTTACAGCAGTGTTCCAGTTCTGTATTTGGAGTGGGAGAGGGAAGTGGTGGTGGGGCTCTTTTCCCCACTTCCTTACTAACCTTCTTTAATCCCTTAACAAAGCCTGTCCTTTGGGCTTCTCTGGATAGTTTTTGTACCAGTATAACTCAATTTCTGTAAGCTATTTCAGTACAAGCATCTTTTGCTGTATAACTGTGTCCAAGCTGGGGCTTGTATCACTTTAACTATACTGATATGTTAAATTGATACAGAAACTTGATGTGAAGCCAGCCCTTTGACCAATGTCCTAGTTTTTCACTATGAAAATATGATCAACCTGCAGGAGGTTTGGGGGAGTTTGCTACTTGCAGCCCCACCATTTATTTTGGGCATCGACCACAACTCTATGCGACTCAAGCGTCATACGTTCTGGGTCGCTAGTTAGGTTGTTGAAGGTGTATTTATAAAGGATGCACTTGGCAGTGAACACTAGAATTAAAGCTATACTAGGACTTTAATTATAGCCCTGTTTGCTTGTAAGTCTGAAAAATGCCTCTAAGCAGGTGGAATGATTCCGCAAAAACCTCTGTGCAAAGTTTGGGCTTTTCCCTTGCGGGCCAATGTTTGGAACAAAGGAAAATGAGTTGATAACCAGATACCAGTAACCAGACTGAACTCTACAATGGGCAGATTTCTGTGGGTGTGGAACCTACCTCCTCTCCCACGTCCCAAACAGCCCTTCCTCAAGTACTTGTGCAAGGGGAGAGGGAAACTGAGGTGAGGTTCACTGGTGATCAGGTAGTAGCTCTGCCTGCTTTGCAGTCTCTTTGCTGCCATCTTCCATGCTTACTCTCAGCCCAAAGGTAGATTTTTTTGAAATTTTGAGTAAAATCTTATCTTCTATTTGAGCTGTGGCAGAGAAGGAAAAAATGTAACTTTTCCCTCTGTAAAAATCACATATAGTGCAAATATGGCCAAACTTTGAGGACTCCTGGGTTCTGTTCCTTGCTCTAGTGGGGTTTCTATAGTGCTCATTGCTATAGTGTCAAAGTGCTTGTTAGGTAAATTACCTCTGCCTGATGAGGTTTGTAGTGGTCTTCATGCAGTCTCTACTCTTCCTTTTCTGGTTGGAGGAAGCTTTGCTTGGGGTGTGGATGTACATGTGTGGTGGTGTTTTCATAAAAACACTGATTCTGGTAGAAATGTTTCATTGTTGAGAGTCTGGCCAGGTGCTCTGAAGAGGATTAAACTAGATCAGTCTGCTGTCTAGGAGTTCATTCTATAACTCCAACCCCCTGCTCTGAGATGGCTTAATGTTTGGCTTCCATGTGTTTCTTCCTAGCTTTTCTGAGATGCCTTGCTGTGCAGGTTGCTGATAATACCTAGCTTCTAACTCACTACTGAAGAAGATAGAGACTAAGGCCCTGAAGTGGCAACAGAAATAGGCTGGAGCCTGTGGAGGAACCATAGCTTAGAGGTGATGTACTCACAGCACATCAGCCCACGGAGGAATGGACAGCCTTCACCCAGCAAGTTACAGTAACTTGGTCTGGAGATGATGAATGTGAGGCTCCAGAGTGGCTAAATCCTCCTCTGGGAGGAAATGGTGGAGTTTTCAGCAAGCTGGGGGTGGAAGGATCATCTTGGTATTAGCACTAACTGCTCATCTAGGGTTAGCGACGAGTCCAACAGAACCCTATGGGTTTGCATTGTACTGCTGGGGAATGCCTGCCGAGACAGAGGATAGTGTCTAAACCAGTTCTTTGAAATTTCTTCCTTTCTGAATAGCATCACTTCACTCTTGCCTGCGTGCAGTGTCAGCCAACTGTTGCTTCAGCTATGTGCTGATTTCTCAGCATTTTGACATCCTTGCAATGTGATGGCTGTGTTCGTGGGAGATGAGCTGGATAACTGGTTGTGGAGTTCAGTGGAGCACATTGCTTCTCACCACACCTTCAAATGGTCTGCTGTAGGTGTTAAAGGGGAGGGAGGACAGCATAGATCCCTGTGGGTACTGCGGAAAGAGGAGCTGTTGTCCATGACTACTTGGGGGCCTGTTGGAGTGGAATTATAAGAGCCATTGTAAAGCTATACCTTGTGTTCTAGTTGTGTTATGCACGCAGTCAGCAGCACCTTGTGGTCAATTGTTGAAGTTAGCAGGGAGGCCAGGAAGTAGCTGTGCCTTCTTTCCATTGACATGAGGAGGTAATTATTTGGTGCCTCTAGGGCAGTGGTTCCCAAACTGGGGTTCTCGAAATGTTACAGGGAGTTCTCGGGGGAAAATTCCCTAATGGCGGACAGAGCTGTCCCTAGGGACCCCAGGCAGCACGGGGCCAGCAGCCCGGAGCCCCTAGACTTCCAAGAGCTAAGCAGATCAAAGCAAGCATATCTATCACACTGAGGAGACTTCACCTCCCTTTCCATTTCTTATAAGGAGTCTTGAAGGTTGATATTTTTTGCTGTTTTTAAAATTAAATAGGCAGCTAGTATTGTTTTTAAAATTATTATGAAGAACTCCAAAGGTAATAACAAAATGTTTTTTAAGTATATCAGAAGCAGGAAGCCTGCTAAACAACCAGTGGGGCCCCTTGATGATCGAGATACAAAAGGAGCGCTTAAAGACGATAAAGTCATTGTGGAGAAACTAAATGGATTCTTTGCTTCAGTCTTCACGGCTGAGGATGTTAGGGAGATTCCCAAACCTGAGCCGGCTTTTGTAGGTGACAAATCTGAGGAACTGTCACAGATTGAAGTGTCACTAGAGGAGGTTTTGGAATTAATTGATAAACTTAACATTAACAAGTCACCGGGACCAGATGGCATTCACCCAAGAGTTCTGAAAGAACTCGAATGTGAAGTTGCGGAACTATTAACTAAGGTTTGTAACCTGTCCTTTAAATCGGCTTCTGTACCCAATGACTGGAAGTTAGCTAATGTAACGCCAATATTTAAAAAGGGCTCTAGAGGTGATCCCGGCAATTACAGACCGGTAAGTCTAACATCGGTGCCGGGCAAATTAGTTGAAACAATAGTTAAGAATAAAATTGTCAGACACATAGAAAAACATAAACTGTTGAGCAATAGTCAACATGGTTTCTGTAAAGGGAAATCATGTCTTACTAATCTATTAGAGTTCTTTGAAGGGGTCAACAAACATGTGGACAAGGGGGATCCAGTGGACATGGTGTACTTAGATTTCCAGAAAGCCTTTGACAAGGTCCCTCACCAAAGACTCTTAAGTAAAGTAAGTTGTCATGGGATAAAAGGAAAGGTTCTTTCATGGATTGAGAACTGGTTAAAAGACCGGGAACAAAGGGTAGGAATTAATAGTAAATTCTCAGAATGGAGAGGGGTAACTAGTGGTCTTCCCCAAGGGTCAGTCCTCGGACCAATCCTGTTCAACTTATTTATAAATGATCTGGAGAAAGGGGTAAACAGTGAGGTGGCAAAGTTTGCAGATGATACTAAACTGCTCAAGATAGTTAAGACCAAAGCAGACTGTGATGAACTTCAAAAAGATCTCACAAAACTAAGTGATTGGGCAACAAAATGGCAAATGAAATTTAATATGGATAAATGTAAAGTAATGCACATTGGAAAAAATAACCCCAACTATACATACAATATAATGGGGGCTAATTTAGCTACAAGAAGTCAGGAAAAAGATCTTGGAGTCATCGTGGATAGTTCTCTGAAGGTGTCCGCGCAGTGTGCAGAGGCGGTCAAAAAAGCAAACAGGATGTTAGGGATCATTAAAAAGGGGATAGAGAATAAGACTGAGAATATATTATTGCCCTTATATAAATCGATGGTAAGCCCACATCTCGAATACTGCGTACAGATGTGGTCTCCTCATCTCAAAAAAGATATACTGGCACTAGAAAAGGTTCAGAAAAGGGCAACTAAAATGATTAGGGGTTTGGAACGGGTCCCATATGAGGAGAGATTAAAGAGGCTAGGACTCTTCAGCTTGGAAAAGAGGAGACTAAGGGGGGATATGATAGACGTATACAAAATCATGAGTGATGTGGAGAAAGTGGATAAGGAAAAGTTATTTACTTATTCCCATAATACAAGAACTAGGGGTCATCAAATGAAATTAATAGGCAGCAGGTTTAAAACAAATACAAGGAAG